CCCACAATCTTCATCTCGCATTCTCCGGTACCCGCGGCGTAAATGGCACGTCGAAGCATGGACTCAGGTACTCACATGTACCAGAGTCAGTACAACTCTTCACCACACAATCATACTGAGTTCCTGCAAATAACTCAAAAAAATCAAACACCCACCTCATCTATAATCAAACATTATATCTAGTCAGGTATCAGCTAAACATGAACATAAACACACCCCTCTCCCAACCCACACCACTCAACCCTCCTCACTTAAAACAAAATTTATCTGCATTCGGCTCACAAGGCCCCGTATACGAAACATCGTTCTTCTGAAACGCTCCCGGTTTAGTCGGGCTTCCCACCCTCCTCATAATATGCTGCTGCGTCGCCTTCCATGTCGTGCCAATAGGGCAGAAATCCTGCCCCTTGCGTATGGGCACACAGCGCTCCACAACCGCCTGATTGCCCGGCTTATTACACTGGCTGAGTAAAACCTGTCTGCAATCAGATCCTTGGTCACATCCCTCTTCGAAGCAGATTGTCACGCGTCCGGATTTGGCGCCGTGACCGGGGTCTTCGATTCCGCCGCTGAGATCGAGCGTTGGGGCGGTGAGGAAGTCATCTGGGGCGGAAAGGTTGAAGAGGGGGACTGCGGGAGAGGTGAGGAGGGGTTTGGGGGCAGGCTTGGAGGCATTCTTGAAGCCCGTGGAACCAGGAACGCAGAGGGAGGGGTTGTCCAAGGAGGCGGACACTGCGTCACGCCAGAGGCGAGACATGTTGTAGGCGTTTGCGAGTGTGTAGAAAATACGGCAATCGGCTGCTTCATATTTGAATTGTAGAGGGGTGGTGTCATTTGGCCTGATCTGGTCGCGGAGGTTGACGCCCAGAACGGTGGTGAAGACGCCAGAGTCGCGGTAGCCTTTCTCGTTGAGACGGGGCACAGTAGCTAGGACGGTATCGTTTGCCTCTGTGGAATTGAGAGCAAGGAGATGAAAATCAAGTCCATCAGCAGAGTAGATTGCGGCACCGCGATTGCCGCCGACAGCTTGCATAGGTCCTGTAGTTGGACGACCGCCCGCAACGATTGTCTTCACACCGACCTCAGTGAACATTTCCACGAGAAGTGCGCAGGTCGAGGAACAGGCGCCATCAGTGAGCTACAGCTTCATAGTAAGTTACGTTTCATTATAGGTATGAGCGTGTATTCTTACCAGAACAATGTTTTCAGCAGCAAAAGGTTGCGAGTAATCCTCGATGGGGTCTTCCGGTGTATATCCCCACGGAATCCAGCCTTCAAACAGAGCTGCATCAAATACGGAGCTCGAGAGATTATAGCGCTCCTGGACATTGTCGTCAGTGTATATACTGTCAACTCCCTTCTATGACAACTCACCGTAAGCGAAAATGAATCCCCCTTCTCTTCAACTGGGCCTTTGTACTCTGCCCAGCTAGTGAAGTTCTGGCCAGTCGCCGCATCCAACCTTGAAGAGATGACCCACTCATCAGCGACAAAGTCGTTATAACGAGGATCTTCTGATTCAAAAGCCTCAAAGTAAGCCGTGTATGCCTCACCAAGCGTGTTCCCCAGTTGGTGATTGCGACGGCGACTTCCAGAAAAAGGCATACTATTTGGAAAGAACCTCTTGAACGTGCTAAAAGCCAGCTCGACCGTGCCTCCAGTGTTCTGCTGCAGGTCAATCACTACCCGCGTAAGCCCCTCGGTGGTGACGTTGCTGATGAAGTACGATACGGCTGCGGAAAAGTTGCCGATTGCATATCCGGTTTGGCCAAAGGAGGGTATACTGAGAACTGCAGCGTCCAGATCTCGTAGGTAGTATCCAGATACGACTCCGTCTGCGATAACAGCGAGGCCATCCTGAGCCACGTCGGGGTCGGGATACGCTCCGCTGCTTACTTCACGCCATGAATTTACTGCTACATCTGGTGTAGTACTATTGCCTACTGGAGTAGTGCCAACTGCATATGCTGGGTTGTAAAACTCTGCACTGTCATCGTAAGAAGCTGGTAGTAGGCCCAAGACAAAGTAGTTGTAGAAGTCGCCTCCCGTGGTAAGTGGGCCCGTCGCATAGGGCTCGTTGTAGAGCGCCAGCCAATAGTCCGTGTAATTTGTGCCGTTTACAACTGTAATATCGATTTCGTCGCCCGGGTAGAAGTTGATGTAACCGTCCCAAATGCTCTGATCGCCTCTAATGTCCAATGCTGGCATGTGAAAAAGCTGGTTCCAATCTGCATGTGCTTCGATACCACCAAAAGAGTTGAGACTTGCAACGCGCGTTAGGTATTCGACTGCATCCTGCTTGTTGATCGTCTTGATAGGTGACGGTTTCCAACCCTCGTCCCGAGCTTTGATAACATCTTCAGTGATGTATACTTGCGGTAGGGATGTGCCGTCGGAAGATGCAGCAGTGATCGAAAACGGTGCGAAGAACGAGAATGCCGCCGTTATTCCTGCAACCAAGTTAAGGTGTGCATCGTGCGTTGAATAGAGAAGATGCTGCAGATCAATCTCAAATTGGTACTGATTCGTGTAGAGACCCGTCGTAACGTTGTTCTTGATGCTCTGCAATTGCGCCTCAACGTCAATAGCAGGCTGTTGGTACCCGACTGGGGGACTTTTGAGGTACGCAAGTGTACTTTGGAACTGCAAAGTTTCGTTCACATAATTGATGAATCGTTGTGCGACAGCTGTGTTGAATGGTACGCTCATCAGGCAGTCGTAGGCATCCACAGCGTAAAAGTATGCGTAGCCCTCATTAACTGAGTCAATGACATCTCCGCAGGCGGTGGACTGTGGTTCAGGGGATTCCTGGCGTATGCGTACCGCTTTGGGCCGCACAACAGGCGTAGAACTTGAAATTGTACTCAAGATGAGCACGCTCCAAAGTGATACTGCGAGAACAGGAACCCGGAGTAGCATTTTGTTTGTTGTCGTGACCTGAAGAGAGTGACGGCGACATGGATACTCATCCAGAAGCCTATGTAGCTATATAACAAATATTTTCTTTGTGGAACCTGGCGCATCAACGCGCAGTATTCAGTTTGATCCTGGTATACTACATCTTACTAGCATGACGAAGATAGATTGAATATACCACCACATCAGCGACTACCCTTGTGGAGATTAGCTTGGGGGCGAAAGCAGCTCAGATTGGTATGCCTTAACTTGTCAGCTGGAACAAACACAAAAGTCAGCAGTGGCAGTGTTTCCTATGGCTGACATCTATCAGCCAAGGGTTGTCGCTTGTGTGCCTGGAATCAAGTTTATTTCGGGCTGAGTTGATGTACATACGGAGCCGCATAGGTTTGTATAGGTCGATATTTTATAGGTTTAACTTTGCGTGTTCATCATCTTCCAAACCTTGCTCGCCCGTGTCATTTAAGTACCTGTCGGTCATCGGTCATCATTTGGTGGCTTGTTCAGCCCTCACTTTTGGCCCCCACATGCATGGAAGCAGCACCTGAGTCTAGACTCTGCCCCGAACGGCTGCCTGTTCCTATTTGCGTTTACTCCAACCTGGCGTGCATTAGTGACTTGTGATTACATACTCTGAGACTATATTTGCTTACAGGAGCAAAGCTTTGATGCGCCGCTGAAGGACTGACACCGACCGACGATGATGACCATGGAATCGAGCAATATTGATATTGCGGACTTCGACGAAGAGGAAGACCAACCAGACCCTTTCGCACAATTCTTCTCTATTCATCCTGCGTTGGGAGTTCCGCACGAAATCGCATCTGATATCTACCCTCAATTGTTCGACGCCTTCTTCCACAGCGAGATCTTTGGCCGCTGGCTTCGTCGTAAAAATGCATGGCAGTTGTATATTATAGGCGGGCCTGGAGTTGGCAAGGTAATTCTGTGCAACAACGTGGAGTATCCAGATTGTTGATTCTGGTAGACAACAATGGCTTCCTTGACGATCAAACGAATCCGTGCAGAATATGAACAATCATTCGGAACCAAGACTCATGTTTCTGCCCTGTTCATACGCGATGGTCCTATTGAGAATGAACTTGCTTTCCTAGAAGATTCTCTGAGCGAGGTCTACCGGAAGTTCACCCCTCCTGGGCTGCTGGCAGACCATACTGCTTCAAACATGTATGATAAGTACACCTATGCGCAAAACGCTGGTAGGCGAGTCTCCGTACGCATAGATCTGATTAGCCAAGCGCTCCAACAAAGGTGTAGGGAGATCCAAGAGACAGGCTGTGCTTTCCTCGTGATCGACAACATTGAGCAATGCAGTCCGTCTTTGACAGAGTTGTTACTCCGCCAATTCTCCGTCCTGCAGCAACAGGGTGTAGGGGTTTTGATCACTTCGAGGCTGCGGAGACATGGCAAACTGGAAGAGGTGTACTGTGACTTTCACGAACCAGATTTTGATGAGAGTCGCTTGCAATTCTATCGCCGTTGTATAGATTGCGAAAAGCATTATGTCTGTGAAACGTGCGATGATGCAGAGAAGATTTGCGTTCAATGGTACATCTCAATTTTCAATGCTATCAAAGCGTGTGTCTGGAGTTAGAAAGCTAATGTTCATTGATGCAGTGGCCCTAACACGGCGTGGGCAGAACCGGAGCATTTGGAGTTGGTAATTGATTCAATACGTGAAAGTTCCATGAAGAGCTTCATTGCCTGGGATCTAGAGCGTGAACATGGAGAGCTCGGGCTTGGGTCTGACGCGCATAAGCCTCCGCTATCGTCATTCGGCATCGCCTTTCGGAAAGCAAAAACAGGGATTGCTGGCCGCAAATGGGTACAAGAGATTTACGAGAGCGTAAATGGAAGCGTTGTACAGACAAAGCTTGCCCTTGACCGGATACACAGCGCACCTTCGCCGGACGCCATCACCTTCAGCCCAAATCGCATCCCAGCAAATGTGCAGGCGCTTTTGCATGCTGCCATAAAGGATATTGAGAAACAACCAACAAGTCAGCGTGATCTAGCGCTCAAAAGCATAGCGGCCGTTGGCAAGCAGGGAGAGGAGGACGTGGGAATTACCCTATCGCGACTTGCGGGCCTGCTCAAAGGACGACCTCATATATCGTCAAAAGCAGGTGTTCCACCTCGTAGTGCTGAAGATATCTTTGCATCGACCAAGGGTTATCTCAGACTCATGCCGCCGGGTTATGACGAAGTGGAATATGCAATAGTTGCCTTCAATAGGGTGTTGTTCCGCTACGCCAACGAAGACTACAATGACGCCTTGGTAATGGCAAACTCACAATTGCGCACGTCTAATATTCCAAGATCCTTCACTCGTACTTTGGAAAGCTCGAACGCTACAGCTGTGGAGCCTTCATGGCAGGACGTCGTTGGAGAGCTCAAGCGCTTCGAATCGCCAAAGCTTCTAGCCTCCTCAGCTCAAAAGTCGCCGCCGGTGAGACGACGGTCGTCTGGATTGAACAGAAGCATTACTTTCGATATACGGGGAATCTCTTCTCCGTCGGTAGGACTGGGCTTGGATCCTGAGTACAATCGATGATGGGTGTGCTGGGCACAATATTGGATCGAAGATAAGTGTCGCAACGAGGAAGCTTTAGTAGCTCCAGAATCATCAAGCAATCCAAAACTTCTCCCCTTCCCATTCTTCCAAGTCTGTGGGTGGCTCAACTTGCTCCCAGCAGATCTGTTGAATGTGATGCCACATTTCAGCGCTTAGTTTGTGGATTTGTACTGCACCAGTGCGAAAATATTGCTGGTCCACACCTGAAGAACGGATCATGATTCCATGTCCCTCGTACCAGGTCTTCAATTCTAGCTCTGGGTTGTGGATTAGATTTATGCTGTTGTGTTCAAACTTTTGACTCAATGCGAGGATGACGAAGGTGACAGCCCCAGCCCTGGCATCTTCGGTAGTATCTGGATACGCCTCGATGATTGTCTCTCGTAACTGCTGCTTAGCTGCATTTCTAGGAAACAGCAGGTATTCACCGATCTCATTCGACCATTGTAGGTCTCCTCGATGAATGTATCCTTGCACTGCAATCTTCTTGTCTGACAGCTCAGGCTCGACATCCCTTGAATTTGGCGCATTTTCTATTGAGTCTGTCTCCGCCGTCAGGGTACGGCATCGTTCGCGTGAAATTAGCAACCGCAAAGTAGACATGGCATGACTCGACAAGCACCAGAACCAGCTCATGAAACCATATGCCAATGCCAAAATTATAGTGAACAATGCGGAGAAAGGGAAGAATGAGGGCGATTCCGGAGCCTGGGGGGTTCCAATTGTGTAATTGACTGGTTTCCACGACCATGTTTTTCGGATCATTGGCCGAAATTTAGCATTTTCATGCTCCAAAAGCCGGTCTTTGTTTGAGTCCTTCCGCGCTGTACTGACTAGCGAATTACGTTGCGATATCGATGTTGACAAACCCACCTCAGAATTATGCCTAGAGGTAACACTTGACTTCCGCCGACGATCATCTACCAATTCCAAGTCCTTACTCATGTTTGCGATGTCCTTCTGACGATCGCCAGATGTCTGCCGAGGAGCCTTGGGCCGAATCATCTCTTGGCTTATCTTGAATGACAAGGCTTGACCGTTGTGATTTCTCACACGATACACTCTATTCCGTCGCCCTGAGCGATCTTGAACGATGATTCTGCCCTTCACCGATACCCAAGACCAAGATGGATTCATTTTCAAGACTTCTGGACGCTCAGACGTCGCATAGTCTGCCACCTTCCAAGCTAGCTGCTCCTCGAGGAACAATCCCCACATTCCTACAGCATACTCTTCATCAAGGCTGTCACGGACCAGCTTCGCGATACCCCAGACTGCCATGCGTTTGTCATCCTGATTGGTTAGATCTAGGCTTGTATAAGCTTCGATTGCAGCTTTCCAAAAGTCTTCGGGTGAGTCGTCGTTAGTTGCGGAAAGAATGAGTGCTTGGTTGGAGATACCCTCTTGTAATCTTCCTCGCCAGTGACGATCTATCGAAGACGATCGATCTAACGGTAGAGGCAGGCCCCCAGGTAGACTTTCGCACGCACTCATCTCTGTGCAATCCCAGAAGATTTGATGTTGACAGAAATGCAGTACTCTTGGAGCGAGCATTCGTTCTACATAGGTTTCAGCATTCAGAGGTAAGAAGTCAACGCATACTCACCCTGGAACACCCATCCTCGTGTGTAGAGAGGTCTGCTGAGCAGATCATGCTCCCATAGATCACCTCTTATAATCTGCCACTTATTCTTGCCGAACATTGGCGAGGCTCCATCAGCCTCGAACCGTGCAGGGATAACGTCTTGTGGCTCACGCTGGCGAAACAAGCCTTCTTGGCTGTTTGCAGCATCAGCTGCTGCAATATTACAGTAAGAGTTGCGATAGACTTTATGCATCAAAGCGCCCTCTCTCTTCCACTCTGCGGTATCTCCTTGCTTGCAATAATGAGATGTTGCCAATATCGAGCAGCATGAAGTGCACTTACAATAATGCATAATGAATCTATCCATATATAGTCGACTTCCAGAAATCGTGCAACTTCAATGGCCTGTTGAAAGTTTTTGGATAAAAAATTCCATGGTACTCCAACTTCTGTAAACTCTTTCCAGCTCTGCGCCGTCAAAATGTCCCTTCTCTTCTCCGGGGAAGGGCCCCAACAATGACTTAATGTAACGTAAGGGCCTTTCACGTTCGCAACCTTAGTATCGACAACGCGTATCGATTCGCCTTCACGTCTGCCTCCAACATGCAGTAATCTGGTGGGAACCCATTTGCTGCCAGCTCCAGCGCGCTTGGGGCAGTTCTTGTGGTAAATCCCACAATCCCTGATCCATCTCTTGATCTGATGGCCACCATTGACCCGCGGATATGTGCTCATACCGAGATCGATGGGGATCAATAAAGGGTTTAGATCAGTCTCTGGGAAGCAGTAGAATGTACGCTCTGGCAGACCAAACGTTTCCGCCCCTTCCTGGGATTGGTTCTCGCCGCTAGTGTCCAATGATCCTGGAACAACTCGGAAAGTGATAGCAATCGTGGCTTTCCCTTCTCTTGTGCGTCCTAAGCTACGAGTGCTCCACCTATAGAGGGATATAGGAAAAGGATGTAGTAGAGCTAGCTTCTTTGTGTTCTTCGTATCTTGTTGAAGCCATCGTCTCACTGCTTGCTCAATTGAAGTGTCTGCCGAGGCAAATTTCTCGAGATTGATTTGATGATGCTGAACATCTTCGAACAAAATCCTGCAGAACACGCATTGTCTCCTGGCAGAAGTTCTCAGGGAGAAGTAACTCGAGTGGTGGTAATCCCAAGAATCGCGAGCACGTAATATCTTTTCGCGGCAAAAGCTGCAAGGGCTACGCTGGGACATTGTGGAAGAATCGACTTTGGATGATGAACAGTTACCGGTAACAAGCCTCAGCTAGGTAGGGGGGCGCAAATAGATAAGGCAGCTGCAATGAGCTTCTGTTGCAAAAGAGCACCACGGCACCAATCCTTAGTGCCTGTGTTCCCTACCTAATCTCCAAAGGATCTTGTAACAAGGCTAGGCTATAACAAAAATAGCTAGCGCTTACTAGAGGTCTAGGCTAGACCAGAACAAGGCTCTAGGGTTAGTGCTAGGGTCTAGCACTATTATCTGTTGAGATATATATATTATACGGAGTTACTATGCGAGAAATACTTAGCTTAAGTATTCTCGTGCGTACCTTTTGGCCAATTGGTACAAATAGGGAAATGACGTAGTATTCATTTCGTGGGCAGGGCGCCTAACCTGTTACAGATCTGCATTTACCTGCTTATTAAGCTTACGCTCAATACACTAATATTAATAACTAAGGAGGTGGTAATTTGTAAAGCTTAGTAGTCTAATAGTAGATAAGTCAGTCATAGATCTTAACTAGGATAAAATCTTAGACAAGGAAGAATACACACTATATTCAAGTGCTTAGTAATCTGCGTTTGTAATATATATCTTATAGTCACATGGCATGTAACCTAGCAGCGTCTTGTACTAACTAGTGCTGCGTGCGAACATCGTCACGTAGTGACCCCACGTTCTCTTAGATCTCTTGGCATCCCCCCAAGTCTGCTAATCTTCATCGCCAGATAACCTGCAACCCTTTGTCAACACCACGAATCCGATATCTTCGCTTACGCCTGCCTTTATCTTCAAACAAGACTGACTGAGCACTTTCATACAAGCTCGGTCGACTGCCCCCACCAACAGGACCTTCGATCAGTTTTATGCCATCAGAGCCTACAAAAGCAGACCAGACCATTTTAACCCCCCAGATCGCCTCCGACCGCCCAACAACCTCCCAGCATGGACAGCACCTCGACAATGGCTTGCAGGACTCTCTGCGCCCTTCCTCAGATGGGTCGCAGAGAGAGCCTGAGCCATCAGCGGGTGGCACTGGCAATACGCGTGACGCGACGCGCACATATGTCGTTGCCGATGACGCCCTGAACGCTGGCGGACTGAGGGTTGGCGGGCCATCTACGCCGCCACCCAGAGACAGGATCACTGAATATGAGAACGCAATAGCCCATTCGACGCGCAAGCCTTCTGAGGGCCCATTGTTCGAGGTCACCAAGAGCAACAAGAAACCAGATGATAAGAGTTCCCCTATCGCGAATCTTCCTAATGGTAGGTGCATGCCTTTGGAACTGTGGTAGCCTAATCTGCACACGCCTTGCAAGACGCTAACATGATTCAGAGGTTCTGATTCACGCCATTGCGCATCTCTCTCCCAACGATCTCGCCGCTGTGTTCCTTGTGTCTCGCCGCTTCAATGAGGTGGTTACCACCCCGCATGCCTGGCAAGTTGCCTTCGGTCGCTACTTCCCGGGCCCTCAGTCGCTTGAGGACGCTGCCTTCCGCTCGGCTCAAGAGGATAGTGGTGCAGTCGTGCGTTCGGAAAAGAGGAGGTTTGCTCGTCTTACAGCTTTGGCTTCGTGGCGTAGCGAGTACATTCTGCGTACACGGCTCTTGCGTTCCTTGGCTCGTGGAAAGCCCGTTCAGCAAGCTCCAACGCCGTCCCGTACCGGCCAAGTCCAGGTTGCAACCTCCACTGTCACGTACGATGCGAAAACATACACCATCATCAACCACCTCCACGCTACTTTTGGCTCAGGGCTAAATAAGCGTATGCCACGTCTGATCCATGGAGCAGACGATGTAGGAATGGTGACGAGCAGCGATCCAATGGCCGAAAAAGTGGATCCCTGGGGCCAGAGTGATCCCAACTTCTACAGTCAATTTTCCGAGCGATTCCCCGGTACCGCTGAATGGGGATTAGGCTCAGGAGAGGTTGTCGGACGTCCCAATGTCATGGATGTTTCGCAGCCACATGGCTTCATCTATGGGCAGGGCTGTCCAGAGGGCTCTTGTTACTACCGCTCTCCAGAGGAAATGCGCGGACGTTTTGTCGGCGAACCTTCTGACTTTACGCTGCCTGAAACAGGCATCCCAAAACTAGGAGTTGATGGCGGCGCTATCTGTAGCGTTTGGATCGCAAAATCAAACACAATCCCAACGCTATCAGAAGGTTTAATAGGCATGATGATGGGCTCCGCTGCAGGTGTTGTCTCTGCCTGCAGTATTGGGACCGACGGCCTTCGTTCATCTCGCGTTCAACGAGGTGAGCTGACGGCGCGCTGGGTTCTCAGTCCTGGTGTGCCTATCATTGCCATCGCAGTCGACGAGAATTACTCGTCAAAACGCTATACACAGAACCGGATTTGGGCTGTAGCTTTGAACGCTCTGGGTGAACTATACTACTTGACAAAGTTCCCCACGCGCAGTCAAGCCCCAAAGAGTTATCTCGATCATTACACTGAGTACTTTGGCTGGCTTACTGGGCGCAGCGTCTATTGGAACCTTGTTGAGCCTAGCCGGCGCACTGCCAGGCCTGATCCCTATAGTGATGCTGATGTTGACGGCAGCTATTCGCCTCGTACGTCATGGGATGGCATGTGTTTGAGCAAGGAGCAGCTTGTTGCCGAGACAAGGGAAATAGAAGAATTCCTGCGCAAGCCCCCTAAGTATTTTCGAAAGATCTGTCTGGGGTGGGACATGCGCCGACGTCTTGAGGTCGACTTTGCAGGCGATGATGGGAATTACGCCGGTGAAGCTATTATCGTGTTTGAGTGTGGACTCGAAGAGGGCAGCACTGCAGACGCAAGACGCTTCACTCGATGGAAGTCGAGCGAAAAGACCAAGAGTACAGCTACCTCGACGAGGCTATCTACCCCACAAATTACTCCGGTCGCCTCGCTGTTCGGCGGCTCGGGTGCTGGTACTCCTGATACGTCAAAGTTTCACGCACGTACACGCAGCTCCTCATACATGTCCACATTGAGCTCACCAGAAAGAGGAAACATGCAGGAAGAGTGGAGGTGCTCAAAGCTAACATTAGGCGGTTTCAAGAATACGCAGATCACTACAACAACGCTGGACATTTCAACATTCGCAACTATCACCTTATCTGAAGACCCTGCCCTAGGTTTCTCGACTGCATCAACAGCCTCTTCACCTTATGCGTCACCAATATCTGTCTCAAGCCAGCCGGCTTCCCCATCAGACGTTCCAGGCCAACGAGCTCGCTTCATAGCAGCCGGTACGATGACGGGAGTAGTCATTCTTTGGGATGTACGGGCAGCTGTATCACGATCGTCTGAGTACACCAATAACATTGCCCCTGCTCGTATCATCTATACCGAATCGCCGGAGATATCTTGCCTGGCCATGACGGGACTGCATCTAGTCGTTGGTGGGAATGACGGCCTCGTTCAGGCCTGGGACCCGCTCGCGTCCAGCATGTCGCCTATACGTACCCTGAACTCTCGCCACGCCTCAAAGGCACGCAGGCGTTTGGTGCAAGCTCAGGCTTCGGTCCAGGGCATCGGTATCAACATGTTTGCCGCTGGGGCCATTTGCTTGGACCCTGATCCAACCGTCTTGCGTGGCGCTGTCTCTTTGGGCAATCAACTTCGGTATTGGAGCTACAGCTCAACGGCTGCTGATGCATATAAGGGCAGCAAGCGTCGCTTGAGGCGTTCTGAACGAGGCAGCAACAACGCTGTCGAACGCTTTGCTGGTACTGGTCGGGTCAATTTGAACAGTTACATTGCTGATGAGCAGTTTGAGCTTGAGCGTGAAACGTTGGAACGTCAAAAACAGGCCGAACGCTTAGCCGGGCGCTTTGGTACGGAGTTGTTGAGTGAAGACGAAGCTCTAGCCTACGCTGCGATGTTGTCTCAAGAGAGCATGGAGGCAGAAGCACTGCGTCGCCGTGAAAGTGAAAGTAGCGCTGCCTTCAGTGGCGACACGGTGACACCCGAGGCCAGCATGGTTGGCTCATCTTCGTCGCCAGCTCTTAAGAACGAGGATGAGCTAGATGCTGATATTGCCGAGGCCATTCGTCTATCGCTCAGCACTAATTCTGGGTCTGACATGTATGAGCCTTCCACAACGCCACCCTCAGCCTTTGAAATTCCAATCAAGTACACCAAAAGCAAGAAATCAAACGCTTCACCCGGATCTAAGAATAGTCCAGCAAGAAAAGGCAATGCTCTAGCGGGGTCGAGCAACCAGAGCGAGCTCTCAGATTTAGAGTTTGTGATGCAATTGAGCCTTGCTGAGGAGCAAAGTCGGCAGGACGTGGAAGACGCATTCCCTCCGTTGAGCCCTGTGCAGGGTAGTGGTAGTGGCAAAGGCAAGGGTAAGGAAAGAATGTGGTGATGGAGGGAACTGCATTGATGGGTTCTCATTGTTTGTTGGAGCGGGTACACATCACATGTACTGCGCGAGGCTTTGCTATTTTCTTTCCATCCTCCTATATCGATGTTTGACACCTTTCACTTTCATCATTTACTTCTTCAGGTCACGGGCTCAAGTGCACGCTCTCAGCTCAGACGTTTTGCTCTTTGATTTCATCTACGTTTTAGAGAATAGTTGCGTTGCATCATCTAGGCTTCATTCGAACATGGCGAAATTTTAATATCAATCCATTACACAATGCCTCTACATCTTGCACCCAAAAGCACACTCAACCACAGTCCTGAACATCCTCATACAACTTCTGTCCATTCCCAAGCACCAGGCCTATGGTTCCTTACTTCCCCTGAGCCGCCGCCACGCCTCATCTCGCCCCAATCGGAGCAGGCGTAATCGTAGCCGTACAAACCGCACTCGTCGTTGCAGTCGCCGTAACAGTAACAGTCCCACACCCCGTCGAACACGCAGTTTGACATTCCAGCATCTCAATTAGCGTCGACGTCTCGCTGCAACTTGCCACAGGCGCAGGAATTGTCGTTGTCGTTGTACTGTGTTTGTCTGTTAATGCAGGGACCACGCGATGGGGGAAGGGTTGGTGCATGGTACCTTAGCGCGAGACACTGTAGCATGGCACATGGTTTGGTGAAGGGGGGGCAAAAGAGCCCGGGTTGGAGGGATGTTGCGGTGTAGCAGGGACAGGCTGCTACTTCTTTGGCGGAGAGAGCGGCGGCGGATGTGCTGTGCGGTGGTGTGTTAGTGTGCCATATGTTGCCTTTTGGAGGTGGTTATTGTGTACGTTGAGGATAGCCCGGTGAAGACGGCTAGGAGTGTGACGAAGGGATTCATTTTCAAAAGTAGTATGTTATGATGATCTATCGGGTAAGTGTTTGCGAAATTCCACCAAATAAAGAAGCAGTCTCTTTTCTGCACAGAATCTGTTTGATATTTCTTCCATAGCTATATATGCACGTTTATTACCCGTTGATATTTATTCACAAGCCTGCGAGTACGTGGCCCCATTGCTCAGTTTCTTTTTTGGGGGGGTTTTCTCCACATTCCAGTGTTTGACCAGCCTCTTAGGGTGACAGAATTGAACGTCAGCAGCTGTGGTTGAGAGCGGGGGTTTGCATTCCGAAATCCATATGTTTTCGGGTAATGGTTACCGTTATTCCCCTCGTTTTTGTTTGGGATGGTGACGTACGGCGTGTATGTAGTGAGCGGACTTTGGGTTCCCTGCTGTGGACATTGGGCCGGACTATATCTTTCATTTGTAGTGCATTATATTCTAGCAGGAAATCAAGTAATCCAACAATTCACTCAACGTGAAAAACTTTCTTTGCACGTTTCTGAGTTAGATGGGAGTTGATGTTGAGTATCTCGAGAGTGGATCAAAGGCTTGGCAAGTGAAGACATCACAGCTTAGTCATCCTTGACTATCGTTCCTCCCCATCACGAACTTTTGCTCATCGCGCCCCCAAACCCGCCCTGCACGCCCACCAAACATGTCGCTCACTTTCCTCCGAGGTCTCATACGGCCGTCCCTCTTCTCCTCGACCGCAATCCCCTGCGCACGCCTTCCCCTCCCTTCTCTGGCCGCTGCCACCGCAATCCCAAAACCCTCCATCACCCTGCCATTGCGCTCAGCGCCCTCTGCACGAGCGCACAAATGCACGTTGATCCAAGTCCTACGCCAGGGCCGCGCAGAGCGAAAAGCGCGAAAACTGCGATCACCGCAGTTGAAGGATAGGCCGGAGCTGAAGGGCGTGTGTCTGAAGGTTGGAACGACGAAGCCCAAGAAACCGAATTCTGGAGAGCGGAAGATTGCGAGGGTGAGGTTGAGTACGGGGAAGGTTATTACGGCATATATTCCTGGCGAAGGTATGCATGCATGATAGTTCAGAAGAATGAAAGAGGCCGCGGGTGCTAATTAAGGCCAGGACATAATGTACAGCAGCATTCTGTTGTTATGGTACGGGGTGGGCGAGCACAGGATTGCCCTGGTGTGAAGTACCACTTGGTTAGAGGAGCGCTGGATTTGGTATGTTGGGATATGATGGATGGGTTGAAAGCCAGCTAACGATAAAACAGGGTGGCGTTGGTAACAGAATAACGTCAAGGTCGAAGTACGGGACGAAGAAGCCTAAGACGGCTGCATAGACTATGCACGGGTAATTTTGCACATATGTGTAACATATTATTGGTATCATTGGCGTTCAGTATCATAAGAGAATGCTGGATGATCCGAGGAGTGGTCTACTGGGTGCATGGCTGCACGTAACACTTAGGCATGAGAATGATCTCTGTGATAACACAGGTCAATGAACAACAACTATCGAGAATTCTCCTTTCCAGGGTGGCCAGAGTTCAGATAAACCGACGTGTACGTGTTGTAGCAGTATGGACCTCCGACTTCTAAGCCTACTTCACAATGAGCAATGGATGCTCAGTTCTCATAATTGCCACAATGCTCTCGGTACTGACACATGAGATTGCATTAACTTATAATCCTAGTCTTGATATGGAAGTCAGGGCGTTGATGTATAAGCGCAGTTTCAGTTGGCTTGACCGAACCGGGACGAAATGCATTCCACGCTTAGATCCAGCCTCATCCAATCCAGCAGCCATATATTGGTACTCGATGTGGACCTCCAGTTTTGTCAAGATCGAATCGTATCTTTCTAGGCCTGGGGACGGTCATGTGGATCATGGCATGGAACACAACACAGTGGTAACGACAGCATCAGAATCTCATTCGTACGCCAATGGAATCGAGACCTTCGCGATCAATGTGGTTCATTCGAACATTCGACGCGCCACCCGTTAGCAATCCTCCCTGCATACCTCTCCTGTCACACAGACTGCCTTGACACTGGAATGCTCCTTTTCTACACCACAAAGTCCTCGCCGGCGACACTTCCGCTCCTCACCCTCAATCACTCTCTTTCTCACACACCCTCTCTATCACCGAAAACCCCAAATCGCTAACAAAGACTCCTCTGTTACACTAACATTATAGCAAATGATTAACCACCGCAACAACCGTTCCGCTCGCTGAACACAAACCCCGGATCCGCGACCCTTGTTTCTGATTTACACTTGCACGTTTTTTGTTTGAATTGTTCTGATTTGCTTTGATCTTTTTCCGCTCTTTTGACATTCCAACCGGATTTGTTCTCTCTTTACCGAATCGATTTTTTGCTCTCTTTACTCGTCCTACGACCGATCAAAACTACCAAAAAAAATCACGGCCATGAAAGCCTTTGGCTATCTCATAGCCGGGGCAGCTCTGCTCCCAGAGCTCGTCGCCGGCCTCAACGCAACCGCAGATGAAGCAGGATGGAGATACCAAGGATGTTACTCGTATGGGTTTCCATTTCCTTTTCCGCTCCATTCCAACGCAGTCCCACGCGACGGAATTGTGTCAAGTAGTCGATGGTACAGGAAAACTAATGCATAAATCCAGCGACAAACAATACACCGGCAGCCCCGGTATAAACGAACCCGCCGTCCGCGGTGTCTCATCCTGGCCACGCACGCTAAACGGCCTGTTCTTCCGGAATTCCACAAACACCGGGCGGGCGTGCCGGAACTTTTGCGCAAGCAATCAGTTCACGGTCGCTGCTACGAATAACGATCAGTGCTGTACGTTTTCTTCAGCCTTGTCCTTCATCTCCAGTGCCCTTTTCGCGTTTATTCAACAGATGACGCAATCGCGAACATCAGTTTACAGCCTCAAATACTAATACAAGAGGCATCAGGGTGTGACAATGCAATTGCCAAAAACGGCACTAGCATCATTGCACCCTCGTACGGCATCCGCGACCTCGACGACAGGAATTGTCAGCAACCGTGTCCGGGCAATGCGACAGAGGCGTGTGGGAATAATACGGCAAATGCGAATTTGCAGCGTTTAACGCTTTATCAATTGGTAAGTGGATTTTTTGTAGGGTTTGGCTGTCTCGTGCGTATGTTCGGAGCTGTGTTTGTGCTCTTGCTCTCACTGTTTTTCCGTTGCCCTTTCTCTTTCTTTTCTTTCTTGTTTCTCTTTCTCAAATTTTCTGCTGGTGCTGGTGTGGGATGGAGGGGAGGCGGAAGGTGGGGCGGCTGGGGGGTTGGGATGAGGCAGAGAAGGGATTTGGGAATTTTGGGGAAGAAGGGGGAAGACGAGATGGGGATGAGGGAGGGCGTTGGAGAAAAGGGTAGATGGCTAAGACTTTGTTCGACGGTAGGAATGCCGGATGAATGGATGTCCTGCATAGCACTTGGCGATACCTTGACCTTTCCACCCAATATCCCCGTGACTAGGATTGGCCTTGTGCGTTTCTTACGTGAAACCTTGATCGTACCCTTAATCATTTCCTTGATGTACTGGGCACCTCCATAAGGTCCAAAACCCACGACTCGTCCAGCCGAAACATACGCATATCCTCAAAGAAGAAGCTCAAGAATACTAGGCAATCTTTCACATAGTATCTACAGCCCTCTTCCATACTCTTAATCTTCTAAAGTAGAATTTCCACGGTAGACACTTGTGAGAGAAATCCCAACATAAACCACACCAAGCATCATCCCACTGTCCCATCCAGCCATGCATAATACTGCCACGAAGACAATCAGAGTGGGGTTTTTATATTCTCTGATGGTAACCGTAACATACATATGCCGAATGGTAGGTCACCTTGTCTACTCAAATTGCGCCAAACAACTCAAAAAGTACGTATAGTCCTATCAAAGACATTGAAGATGGATGATAGGGCAATAGAAGAATGGTTCATATCCTTACACCTGAATCCCGTCTGTACCTCAAGTACTGCCGAAATTTTCTCAAAAGTCTATTTCCCAACACTTTAGATCTTACATTTTATCGGAAATCAATCTCAAGAGGCGTTTCAGAATTCCATCGTCTATCATAATCACAGAGACTTGTGATGGTGAAGGTACCGTGAGGGACTGGCATTTCTTTCGCGTAGTAGTAGATGAATGAAGGATAATTTAGATGAAATTGAATATGTTCATATACTCTCATAAACTACCCCCCTAAATACTTGAATTCATTGATGGAGTATTATGTTGATGCTGTGCAGCTCCCAGATATATTGCAGACCATAGATTCTACACTAATCCTAGAACAGCCTAGACAGTTTCACCACCTACCGTAGATCCCCCCACCCCCTCCACCTCTCCTCCCACCTTGTGGACCCTCACGTGGGGTAAGTTGAGATATTTTATAAAAGTGACCTTAGAGCAAAACTATCCCATCAATCGATCCATCCCACAACCCATCATTAAAAAAACACTTCATCATACTCCAACCACCATCAATCAACCATGTCAGAATACCCTCGCCCCGACTTCGTTCGCTCAAACCTAACATGGCAATCTCTCAACGGACCCTGGTCCTTCCTCTTCGACGACAACGACATCGGCCTAACACAGCACTGGCATCGCAACGGCCTCCCTGAGGAAATCGCCGTGGATCCCCGCACCACCAACAGCAGCAACAACGACAGCGTGGCGCACAGTATCACGGCCAAGATTGCAGCAGGCACCCAGGAACTTTTGGCAGGCAACGAGTTCCAGGCGGCGGCTACGACGGTGAATAGGAAACGCGAGATCCAGGTGCCGTATGTGTTTCAGTGCCCGGCGTCGGGGATCGAGGAGCTGGGCGTGCATGAGGTGTTGTGGTATGAGCGGGAGATTGGGGATGTTCGGACCGAGGAGCAGAAGGGGGTTGGGTACCGTGTGGTGTTGCGGTTTGGGGCCGTGGATTACGAGGCGAAAGTGTGGGTTGGGGGGCATTTGTATGGTGGCCATCGTGGTGGCCATGTCCCCTTTGATATCGACATTACCGAGGCGTTTGTCGATGCGAAGAAGCAGAGATTGACGGTTAGAGTGTTTGACTCTGCACACGATTTGACACAGCCGAGGGGGAAACAGTATTGGAAGGCACAGCCCGAGAGCATCTTTTACACGCCTAGTGGAGGCATATGGCAGAGTGTGTGGCTTGAGGCTGTGCCTCGTGTTAGCATTGGGGACTCGAGTGCTGGTACACTGCTGAGGAGCAATGAGATCGATGAAGGGAAACTGCACGCTGAGATTCAGATTCTCAACCGCCTTGTCGGTCACCAATACAGTGTGGAAATCGAAGCCGGCCTTTTAGATCTACCCGTCAGCACCACACGCGTCGACTTGCCGCGAGACTCCAACACCGCAACCCTTGAAGTCAACATGCGCGTGTCCGATGTCCAAAGGACACAGATCCAAAATACCCACACAACCTCCTCAAACGACCAATCCTTCTGGCACACCAACAACACCGCCCTCTGGTCCCCCGAACACCCAACCCTCTACACCCTCACCATCCGCCTCTTCTCCCCCTCCTCCCCAACCCCCCTCGACACAATCCACACCGAAACCGGGATGCGCTCCCTATCCTGGCACAACAACGCCATCCACCTAAACCACACCCCCTACTTCCAAGCCCTCTTCCTCGACCAAGGCTACTGGCCCCAAACCTTCCTCACCCCACCCTCCTCCCACGCCCTCGCCCACGACATCCAGCTCAGCAAAGCCATGGGCTTCAACGGCTGCCGGAAGCACCAAAAACTCGAGGACCCACGCTTCCTCCATCACGCAAATCACATGGGCTTCCTCGTCTGGAGCGAAATGGCAAACGCCTACGCCTTCTCTGAAACGTATACCCGCCGCTTCGACCACGAGTGGCGCGAAGCCGTCCAACGCGATCGCAATCACCCATGCATAGTAGCCTGGACCCCCGTCAACGAAAGCTGGGCATACACGCATCTCGCGCATTCGAAGCCCCAGCGCGACCATATTCGCAGTCTGTACTATACCACCAAAACCCTCGATCCCACACGGCCGGTGAATGATAATTGTGGCTGGGAACACGTGGTCACCGATCTAACCACCTTCCACGACTACAGCGACGGCAAGGCGCTGACCGCCACGTGTGCGAGTCTAGACGGGATTCTGGGGCCCAAGGCAGGGCGCGGGATGTTTTTGGACGCGGTGAGGGGGTGCGGGGGTGCGGGGGACGAGGATGTCGGGTCCAAGCATGCGCCTGGGACACCGATATTGTGTACGGAGTTTGGGGGTGTGAATATTGCGCGGGGGAATGCGGCGGCGGCGGCGGGGGGTCAAGTCGGCGATGTAGAAAGGCGAGATGGTGATGAGGGAGACAAGGAGAGGAAAGCTTGGGGCTATACAACTGCTACCTCTGCCACCGATTTGCTCTCTCGAATCCGCACTATGATGACTGGGATCGTGCAAGGCGGTCTCGTTTGCGGCTTCGTGTATACGCAGCTCACGGATA